AGAAAAGGAGCACAGCTTGGAAAAGGAGCTCCCCACCCCAGCATTCACATATGCACATTTACACATCTGTGCATACTTCCCGCCCTCTCTGCTGGGTCTCCCCATCCCCTCTTCCAGTGCCCAGGCTACAAGGCAGGACTACTGGTGCTGGCCCTGGCTCCCCTCTGCTCTGAGCTTCAGTCTCCTTAGTTGACATCTGAGCCCTGAGATAATATAAGCAGTTCCAGGAGAGGCAGATCAGAATCAGAAGGAGAAGTTCTGTGGGAGGGGGAGGAAGGAGCCAGGATGGCAGCGGACAAAGAGGAAAATGGAGAGAAAGGGAACACTGAATCCTGATCCTGAAACAAAGGAACCTGCGTAGGGTAGGTGTTTCAAAAGGGTCAGCGTGGAATTGACTCTGGTCATCTCGGGTCATCTCCAGGAAGTGCCTCTTTGTAAGAAAGATACCCTGGAATCCGATACATGAAATATATTACTTACTGTCTTTAAATAAAGAGAACTTGGGGTGATAGGGTCCTGATCCTATTTATAGATAGAATCCTATAAGGATTTCTATCCTTAGCAATGGGACTGAACAACCTAAGGCATGGTCCTTCAAAATCTTAGACACACTCCACCCCACTCCTCCTGCTTTCTCTGACTGGCTTAGAGTTTCCGTGGCAGTACAGTTTTTTAAAATGTAGACTGGACCCAAGGAACATTCTTTCATTCAACAAATGCTCAGCAAGCACCTACTTTGCACCACGCAGGCAGGGCTAGGCTCAGGCATGCAACCGCCAACAAGACAGACCCAGTCCTTGGCCTCACAAACCAGCAACCAACATAAAGAGTGGGGAGTATATTAAGAGAGTAAGTACTGGATGTTACTGGAGACAACAAAGTGAATCTAAGCCAGTGTTGGGGGAATCAAGGAAGGCTTCCTGGAAGAAGGGATGACTAGGTCAAGAAACTGAAGGATAAAAAAGAGTCAGCCAGGTGAAGAGAGGAAGAATGTTATAGGCTGGGGGGTGGGGTATTGTATACAAAGGCCCAGAGGTCTTGAGGGTTTAATGACATTTTGAGGTGCTGAAAGTTGAGTGTGACGAGAACACAGAAAGTGGAGGCTGATGGAGGTCTGATTAGCTGTGCAAGGAATCCGAACTTGATCCTCAGGGCAACATATGGGAATATTTGTATTTTAAAAAGATGACCTGGACTGCATAAAAGAGAATGGAATAGGGAATTAGAGCCAGGCCATTCTGGGCAAATCAGCCGTTTACTATGGTGTAAGATTGGGCAGGGTGTTTAACCTTTGACGCCTTGGATTCTTCTTCTTTAGAATGGAGAAATATAATACAGCAACCTCCCAGGGTTGTTATAAGGATTAGAAATAATACATGTGGAACTCTTACCACAGGGTTTGGCACTTAGTTGTTGTTCCATAAATGGTGCCTATTAGTATAGTCAGAGTTTGGAGGAGAGCAAAACTGAAGACCAGTTTATTGCAGCAGTCCAGGCAAGAGGTGAGAAGATGTGGCCTGTAGCAGCAGAGGGAATGAGAAAAAGTCAATGGAAAGGTGATATTTAGGAGGTTGTATAGACAGGACTTAGTGACTGGCGGCATGTAGAAAGTGTGGGAGAGGGAGCAGTCAAGGATGACTTCCCTTGGTAAGTGTGTTGGTGTGGGCACTTGAACACAGGACATGCAGGCACGTTAGAGGGATCTGTTCAGTCCTGAGAATGGCCCCTGATTCCCAGCTGCTGGGAGTAAAGGGCCATGCTGTGTCTGCCACCTGGCCTCCAGCCTCCCAGGAGAACCCCCAACACACTCTGCCCTAGCCCCTCTTTAACTATTTCTTTTTCCCTTTTTCACCCAAACTTGCCCCACCCCCACCCCAACGAGGGAACTCTGTAAGTTAAGAGTCTGCATAGGCCACCTTTCTTCATCCTTCCTTTTTCCACCGCCCGGATTAATGAGAGTCCCTGGGACTCAGCCACCACCACTACAACCTCCTCCCCACACACGCTCAGTCGGACGCCCCCCGCTGGATCCCAGAGCAAGCACTGCTCAACTTTCTCCGAGGCGAGGTTTGAGGCCCTGTGAGCCATTAAGCTAAGGCAAGACTGATGGTCTCAGCCCCAGCTCCAGCTGTTGCAGGGATGGGTGCCCCTAGACGGACAGATCGTGAGGTCTGGGGGTGTGAGGAGAGGCCGAGGACCTCCCAAGCCGCCTCTCGCAGCCTGGGCTGGGCTCAGGGCAGCCGGGGACGTCGCCTCCCGGCAGTGCCTCAGTGTCCCCACATGTGCGCGCGCGGCTGGGAGGCGGAGGGGC